CTTGAATGTGTAAATCAGATGAATATTTTGCCTTTCAAAGTGACTCAGATTTATGTATTTTACGGTACTTTATCTATTCACACAAAAAGGCTTCACTTACCTAACAGAGTACAGAACGGAGCGTTTCAATGTTTTTCATTTACCTATGAGTGTTAAATTTAAATTACTTTGTTTAATGCCTCAGTTGTATGATAAATTCATAGCAAAATTTTAAAAAAATCGATTTTTATTAATAATCTTATATTTACCTTTTCTCTCTATACAGAACGTCGATTGTGTATCCGTAGTTGGCTTACAAGTTGTAGTTCGGCATTGAACAGGAAAAAGTACAAAATGAAACATTTCTTCTAAAGAAAGGCTTTTTTCTTTTCTGTTGTATGTATGACGGAATTTCATGTCTAAAAAGGCCATGTTTTGAAATTTTACACATGAGGTCTTCTTTCAACTACGTGATTTCTTACTTGAAACTACAAGGACGGTCAGTCACCGTCAGGAAGAACTCAACTTTTAATTATAATTTAACTTATTTTCGGAATGAGATGAAAGTGATCGGGAACTTTTTTGGAGCATTTGAATCCAAAATCTGCATAAGTCTTGCCGGTACTTTCGTTTGAAGAAAGCATTTTGAAGCAAAGTGTAGGTAAAAAAGCTTTTGAGCATCAAAATTTCGGGGTCTCTCACGAGAGCTTCTTTCGAAGTTCTTGCTCTTCTGTACTTAAATTTAAAAAGACTGTTTTTTTGAAACTTTAAAATTATGGAAAATTTAATTTAAAAATCGAAGAAAAAGAATTTTAAAAGAAACTCGTGTGAGAGACTCCGAAATTTGATACAACTTTTGCTTCTTGTAAAATCGTTCTAGTCCAGAACTCCAATCGGGAAGGTAAAGTGAATTTTCTCGGTGAAGATTGATCCTGGAACGGTGCAATTTTTCCGGTATGTACAATTCGATGTGCTTTATCGAATGACATCACGCTCCAAGTTTTACCATGAAAATGAACATTTTATTAAATGTTTGACAATGGGACCAAATAAAGCTGGAAAAAACTGAAAAAAAGCTTTTTCTCGAAAACTACAAGTCCGCAAACCGAAACAGTTTTGGAATATATAGTTCGGAGTGTCCTTTACAAATCGGCAGAAGAGAGCAGGTGGGAGGTCCTTCTTAACTTTCTCAGAAGGGTAGCCTGAAGCACAAGTTGTGCTGATGTTCAAACACAATATCCTCGAAGTACATGACGAAACAAAAATCGCCAAGCCATGCGGTCCTCCATTGAAAGAGGGATCATAATAAAAATCTGAGCTAAATCGTTCACATGATCTCAGAGTACGACTAGACCGTACCATGTTAGCTTGGTTACTTCCCAGGACGTCGAAAATGGTGTAGTTAATTGCCAATTAAATGCCATTTAATATGCTGTTAATAAGCATTTAAATGGCATTTTTATGACATTTGACCCCGGTTTTAGGCCGTTTTTTGCCATTATAACTGGGAACATTTAAATGCATTCATTTCGCATTTTTTTAAATGTCGAAAAGCGGTTAAATAACAGACATTTAATTGCTGCCAGTAACCCTACTGGTCACATTTTTTTGCCATTTAAATATCAATTGTTAGACCGTTAGAAAATGTCAAAAAACTATCTTCTGAACCTGAGATACTATCACCTGCATCGATTCAGAACCACAGAGCACTTCTTCGAGGCAAGTTTCTATGACTCGTATAATTGAACAAGAGAAACACTCTAAATTATTTTAGGAAAATCAGAGTCATTTATACTATTCAGGACGGCAGAATAAAACGGTGAATGACTTGGTCACTATAAACTGGCTGTTAAATGCCATTTCATTGCTTTTTATTTATTTACAACTGTCGCTTATCTCCTCCTATATTGAACTAGAAGAATCGGCAATAGCTCCTTAGCGACATCTTGGAAGGTGCCAATAGCGCTACCCTAGAATATATATGTTGCAGACAAAACTGGAATTGACTAAAATTCTAGATTTGCCTAGGTAGAACTGGAATTCTAGTTCTGCATGGGCAAATCTAGAATTTTACTAAATCCCTTTTGCTTATAACATATATATAAGACTTTCTTTCAAATAGTCATGAAAAAGGTTTATAATTTACCTACAAAATAAATGTGAGTTAAATTTCGCAGCCAATCAACTTACATATTTGTTCGCATTATTTTTCCGACGCTCGGATAACAAACAGATTTAAAGACCGAGTTACCGAATTGCTGCATGCCTAATCGATCTGTCACTGTAAAGAGATCACCACTTTTATACTGAAGGGCTTGACACAGAACAAACAGAAAGCATGCTTTCTCAATTACTTTATTGCTTCTATTCAAGCAAATGAAATAGTTGTTCAGTTATTCTTAAAAAAAAAGATACTGCAACGCAAAAGAAATCGGACTCTGTCAAGTTGTAGCCCGAATCTGTGCTACATTTTAAANTTATTAAACCAAATTAAATATTTTTTCATTTTTTTTTTTTAAATTAACTTTTTTTCTAAAACAAAAAATTTTACGGCCCCCCCCCCCCCCCTAATTTGACTTTTAGCTTTCGATCCTCCAATCTTGCTGATATTTTTACAGGAGGTGTATCCCGGGCTAGGTAATTCACAGTAAAAATTCCAGCTCGAAATATTGGGTCTCCCCTAAAGACACCTTATGATTAAGGGTCAAAAGTGGGCTTCGCCGTTTCCCAAATTTCTCTGCCATTCCAAATGCTAGAGAGCTTGGATTGGTTTTAAAATGTAGCACAGATTCGGGCTACAACTTGACAGAGTCCGATTTCTTTTGCGTTGCAGTATCTTTTTTTTTAAGCTTACTTTATGAGATATGATCAGAATAGGGTGTAGATTGTAAGACAGTTGAACCTCATGAGATATTAAACGTAAAATCGAAAATTTCGGCTCTGTCAAATTGAAGCGCTGGTCATTCCCTTCATTTCAGGACCAACCCCAGCTTTCTAGCGTTTAAAATGGTGGAGAAATTTGGGAAACACGGAAATGTGAAGACAAAAATCTATATTATGAGAAAAACGCAAAAAAAGTTTTCCTAAAAAGTTGATTTTCGTCGAACTTTTCGATTTTTTGATTTATACAGGGTGATCCAAAAAAACTTACTCCCTGTGTATTTATTGACTTTCTTGTGTTCAAATATAATTGAACTTTTTACCATTAGTTTATTCGAATAGAGCAAAGATTTCTGGACGAAATGAGACGTCTCCAAGCTCTCGAAGAACTTTTTTCATGAAACAGCATTCAATTTACGGAAGGTCCCCCACCAAAATCGGGACAATTAATGGGCAAACAAGGAAAATATGCTCTTGGGACCTTCCGTAAATTCAATGCTGTTTCATGAAAAAAGTTCTTACAGAGCACGGAGACGCCTCATTTTGTCCAGAAATCTTTGCTCTATTTGAATAAACTAATGATAAACAGTTCAATTATATTTGTACACAAGAAAGTCAATAAATACACAGGGGGGAAGTTTTTTTTTGATCACCCTGTATGCACACACATGCTGAATTTCAATTATGCCTAGGCAAAAGTGGAATTCCAGTTCTGACTCAGACATACTCATCTTCTGTCCACAGTCACAATTTTTAGCGTCCGCTAACCTTTTGTAAAGGTGGTGCTCCAGACGTCGCTCTCATATGTTTTCACCTTCGTCACAATAAATCACTAGAGTATGCCTGGTTGTAACTGGAATTCCACTTTTGCCTAGGCATAATTGAAATTCAGCATGTGTGTGTAAACATATTCCAGTTTTGCCTACAACATATATATAAGAATTTCTTTCAATCATTCATGCAAAATATAATAATTTGCCTAAAAAGTGATGGGCGTCACCAGAAATTTAAGAAAGAATAATTAACTTATATAAATAAACTTATTTAAATAAACTTAAATCGTTAATAATTAACTTATTTATAATTAATTATCAATGAACGCATATATTTGTTCGCATTATTTTTCCAGATCGACGTTCGGATAACAAACAGGTTTCGTGGCTGAGTCGGCTTGTACAGTGAAGCTCTTGCTTACAACATTCGACTAAGCCTGACTGGTCGACTAGTCCGACTAATACTAAGCCTAACTGAAGATTGGGGAGATTGGTACCAATCCTCCAAAGCCTAAGATTGGAACTGGTGCATGCCTATCCCTAGCCGATGTCTGGAAAGCTGGTTTTCTGAAAACCTCAAAAAATGTCCAAAACTTTTCTAAGCAAGTCACGATTGTAGTCCGCGAAATTCTGATCAAAATGAGACATCTTCCAGCTCTATACAACCTTTCTTTGCAAAGTTATAGAGTTTACAGGAAAAGCCCTAAATGTTCATTGTCACCTCAGACATATAGAAAGAAAATGGAAAAATGAATTTAGGGCTTTTCCCGTAAACTCCATAACTTTGCAAAGAAAGGTTGTGTAGAGCTGGGAAATGTCTCGTTTTGATCAAAACTTCGGTGGCTACAATCGTAAATTATTTGGAAAAAGTTTTGGAGATTTTTTGAGGTTCTTGGAAAACTGGTTTCCAGAAATCGCCTAGAAAATTTCTATGAACCCAAATGAATATCATATTCGAGATCAGCATGATCGATTACCTACAACCCACTACTTTTCGTTAAAAAAACGAGAGTACATTTGGGGAGTTTCCCTCGTTAGCGTTTTTGAGGTTGAGCCTTTATCGTTAGCAGAACGTCGAAATCTAACTACAAAAGGTGAATTTGGAAATAAATTTGACGCACTAGGAGCACAAGCAATTTCAATTCTTCCGCACTTTTAGTTCACCTCGACAGAAAAGATCTCACGGTTTGACAACCATGCTTTTTTAACAATATTAACAGTTGTATTAAGCAATTTAACAGTTGTCCTCTGCAATAAGTAAGTCTCTAGATCATGAATAATGGTATTTTTTGTGTTCTTCGAACAACCTTTTTATTTTTCATTGTTAAACTTAAATTTTTTTAAAAAGGTGTGCCATTCAGCCTTGATTCAATCTGAGCGTATTTGATATAGTTTTGAATAAAATCCACCTTGTTTTAATAATTTACTATGAGTTCCACTTTCGACAATGCGTCCATTGTGTACGAAACAAATTAAGTCAGCATTTTGTATCAGCGATAAAGAATGTGTTATTATTATTCTTGTACAGTTCCCTTGCAATTGCTGAATACTTTGTTGAACAACCTAGTGTTTAAAGGGAAAAATTACAAAGCTATTATAGTTCATAATATTGTTAATTTTAGATTGTTCACGTTTTACCTTTCCGTTTTCAGCATCTAAACTACTTGTTGGTTCATCAAACAACAGAATCTTTCGATTTTTCACTAATGCTCGCGCTATACATATACGTTGTTTTTCGCCACCTAAGAAATGCGAAATGTGGCATGTGCTTTCACTTTGATAATTAACTTACCTGATACCTGTGTTCCTTTACTACCGACATTTGTTTCATAACCCTAAAATTTTAATACTGTTGAGCATATTTCAGCCATTCTATGCTCTTGATGAAAAATAAAGAAGTAAATTTAAGAAATAATCTGCTTGAAATCCCCAAATATTTTGTATCTTGCTTTACAACAGACTCATAGGATGATGGTAAACAGAGTTAGACTCTTCAGATTGTTATAAAAGTCTTCTCACTGTTCTGATCGGTACTTTAGCATAGGTGTTTTGGTTTTTCAACGACGGTGACCTACACAGATATTCCGAGCACTAGTAGTGAAGTGTGTAGCTAATTTACCCATCAAAAACGTACGAATTTATTTCCAACAATAGGCTCTAAGGTCAGTAATTTTCTGCCTATGTTTATTCTTAGTAAACATCAGGAAGAAGAGGCACTCTTAGATGTTTCGATCCATGCTAGCACGTTTTTCTTACATTACCATATTTACTTACTTCAGGAAGTGTTTGAATAAATTGATGAATATTAGCCTTTTGTGCTGCTTCTATTATTTCGTCTATTGGAATGTCTCGTGAATGGTCACCATAGGCAATATTTTCTCTTATTGAAAGATCAAATAGTACTGGTTCTTGATTAACAATACCAATCTGAGCACGGTACCATTGTAAATGTAGTTCTTTTATGTCTTGATCATCAACAAGCTATATATTAAGGAAATTATCACAAGAAATTCTAATGAAATCATAGTGTTCAATATAAAGAAAATGCTCAAGGTTCCTTTGATAAATGTTCATAAGTTGACTAGAGAATAGATGAATCCGGTCAAAAATTTTGCTATCCGGCTGGCCCGGTTGGATTTTTTCATTGCTGAACTAACAGGTTGCTAGGTCAGTTCAGTGTTATTGGTTGCCAGGCGAAACTGGTTCCAACACGTACGTTAAAACTGTCATGTGTTCTTACAAAATCTGAGCGGTACACTTTTGTTAGATTTTAATACGCACTTGCAGATATTTTGTATAGTTCACATCAAATAAATCTGAGAGGACTATTGGAAATTAGAGATTGAAAATTATACAATTATACGAAGCGACAACTGTATTATAATGGAAAATGAAAACAGCAGTTCATCTTTTCAAAGTTCTTATTGGAGTTCAATAGTGCAGGAGAGATGAATAGACGAAATATCCGCTAAACGTCGTCTATGGATTAGAGAAAAATTCAAAACTGAAAGTTTATAAAGCTAAATGTTAAATGATTTAGAAAAAGAAGTTCACTGTCTGCTATTAACCTCAAGTTATGGTCTGCATGATGATCTATGACCTAATTATCACAAAGAAGTTATACTTTTAATGAAAACATGCGGATGCATAACCACGTAGGGATGAAACCCATTCAGTTTTAATTTTACATTAAATCTTACCAATTTTCCATCACTAACGTCGTAAAATCTTTCAATAAGTTGTACGATTGTTGATTTTCCACAACCACTTTCACCTAAAAACAAAATTTCTTGTGCAAATCAATCTGAATATATAAAAGTGCGTAAAACTTCTGCTTTTCAGCATAACAAGCGTGTTACATAAGAAAACTGTCTAACGGCCCAAAATTCTTCGAAGTAGGTTTTCAGAAAACTCCGGTTTTTCGAATAAAAAGCGCTTTTAAAAAATGTGGACAATGACGAAACATTTTTAATAACATATTCGAATTCAGCGTTAAAAAAAAATAAGTTTTCAGCTCAAAGCTTTAAGTTTTGAATAATTAAATTTTAAGTTCCAAAAATTTAACTTTTTCTAAAATTAAATTATATTGACTCACGTGAGTGATAGAGACTTGGTTCAAACACTATTGAGTTGGGGATTAAAAACTTAACAAACGCAGGAATTTGATAATGTTTCCGCATCCCGTGATCGTGGTTTTCTGTGGGTTTTTTCTAAATCAGAGACGAAAAAGATGGAAATCCACTCGTAATTCTTAATTTTCTCAACAGAACTCAACTTCTATATAATAATAGTACCAAATTCGGAATCAGGATAGAAAAGTGAGTCGACGGATGCGTATCTCTATTTTATAAGAGTACTTCGACTTTTTACGTTGAAAAATCACTGTGATTTTCACCAAAAAAAGAAAAATGAACTAAAAATTTCGATCTACATATCAGTCGACTCAGTTTTCCATCCTGATTCCGAATTTGGTACTGT